CTGAAGCCAGAAGGAGCGTCCGGCTTCACCAATTTTTGAAGCGAACTGGAAACGGTATCCTTTGACCTGGTTACGAAACCAACAGTCATGATTCTTGGAGTCTTGGTTAGATGAGAAAATTCAATTGACATCCCTTCATTACCTCTATGAAATTTATCTCATGTATTGGATCCTGTTTTATTTCAACATGTGCTTTGCTTGTTTGGTCATTCTGAGTTTTAAGTTTCAATGTATGTGGTTTTGCAATGATTGTCAATATTTGTTGGGGGGACTTTCATTTCGTATTAAAGTGAATGAAGAAGAGATTCGTTGGTCGATCTCACCAGATGAGAACGGATAAATCTTGTTATACTGCAGCCGTTTGGCTTTTGTACGATATTCATGGTAATATTTATTTTAAGTTTAGAAATAGTGAGTCTCGTATTGGCTACTTTTTATGGTCGTTTAAGGTTATTTTGTCTAAGTTCATCAATTGCTTAAAGTTGGTATGGATATAACTATTATGTATTGTTCTAGGGCTTTAACAACATTAATTGGTATACCCGTTCATGCAAAGGCAATTTATTAAGTTCATATGCTGACCACTAGGTCAGTTGGATTTGTTGATCACATGGTTAAGTGAATATTTCCTTTTATGATTCATTTTACTCTGCGTGCTGCTATTGAGATTACCTTGTAAGCACCTAGTGGGATCCGTTGGATTAATTTTAATAAAGTTGTTGTCATGATTTTTTCTTTGAATGTGTACGTGAGTAAAACATTCGTAGGCCTATCTCATCAGAAGACAACATAGGATTCCTTTTATCCTCTGCATGTTCGAGGCCACTATGATGTCCAGACTGGAACAGTCCACGAGGCAAGCTGTTTCAGTTCTGGTGGACAGTTTAATCAGCGAGATCGCCAGAGGTGAGTCTCATTCTCACGAAGTCTGCAAGCCAACGTCAAGTCAAGTATCCAACTCTTCCTCTCATGCTGAGCATTCGCACGACAGCAAGCAACATGTAATCAACAAAAGTGAATACAAGGTAATGCAGCTATCACCTGGTTACGAAACCAACAGTCATGATTATGAGTACTTAGAACAAAGCAGAATCTTAATCCAGGAGCATCAAGGATTTGAAGGCTTAGATGGAAGAGCTTAGATGGTACAATCACAAATGTACGTATGGTTAAGATAATGACCTCAATTGGTGTGTTAAATAAATATGAAAATAAATAAACCATTACTAAGACGACTAATTTAGTCGTCTATCAACCAGGCATAAGGTTTTTTTCTCAGTTTACATGAAACGTGTGTATTGCCATTTTAGTTTTGATAGCTTTTCTTATAGCTAGCTTCCTTATCTCTCCAAGGTCGGTCCGTTGCCGTTAGTCTGAGCCGGTTTGTCTTCTTTACTTAGTGTAAAAGTTTGATGCTCTTATAAGAGGTGAATCCAGCACTGATAATTTCTGTCAAGCCTGTTCGACTTTCATCAGAGTCGAATAAAGATGCCTTGCGGTCTGTGTCTACCGGAACTCCATAGACCAACATTAATCTGTTTTCTCGTACAGTTGAGAAGGACAAACGAGTTTCCCCCTCAGACATTTTTACTCGCAACGACTCTCCACAACAAGGTTATCTGAAGAGTTTTGTCTTAATTAGATTATACTGCATATTTATAATTTCAAGAAAACGACTTTTATTTGCCATTACATTTGAAACCTACTTACGAAATATATAGTAGTATCATTCAGCTCTGATAATGTCTGTCACGCCTGTTCGACTTTCATCTGAGTCGAATAAAGATGCCTTGTGGTCTGTATCTACCTGAACTCCATAGAACTATCAATCTATTACAGACCAACATTAATTTGTTTTCTCGTACAGTTGAAATGAACAAACGAGTTTTCCCCTCAGACATTTTGACTTGAAACGACTTCCCACAACAAAGTTATCTCGGTAGTTTTGTCCTAATTAGAGCATAATCTATATTTAAAGTTTCGAGAAAAAGACTTTTATTTGCCATTACATTTGAAACCTACTCACGAAATATATAGTAGTATCATCTAATTCAATGTTAAATACAAGCTTGCCTTATCGACAAGTCGGTGTAGAATGGATAAAAATTATAAATGGAATTTCAAACAGCGAAACTGTGAAAATTTAGGCCGCACTAATAGCCTATATTTAGCAATGCAGGCGATTGTAATGGATCATGCCAATTTGTCTTATCGACACCTGCCAGTATAAATATGAATTGAAAGAGGCTTGGCTGTTCTTGAAAGTTCTGGCATCCACTGAACTCCAGAGCTGTGCTTTGAAACATCAAAGTTGTTCTCTGACAAGCCAAACCCGGCTTTGAGTCCTCATGGTTTTGTGGAGGAGTCCGGTGCAATGTCGAACAGCTGTCGAGTCCGAAGGCGGAGCTGACTGAACCATTTTATCTCCATTTAATTAAGGGAGACGTAACTATCCACTTGAGCTCGCTAACTTGTCGCTTGCCCGAGAGCGATGCCCTTTGGCCGGTGAAGTCTAAAATGGCACATACTCAGGATTTGCTTCAGCTTCTTCCATTCCAATTGGCTCCTTAAACCGTCCAATCAACTTCAATCTCCATTCTGGCTGTCTATTTCTCATACAACCCTACAGGTTGTAGTACTACCAGAGTGGACAAAAACCGAATATCTACCGACAACGGTACCACGAATGCCAGAAAATAGACCTTTCAAAAAGTTGTCTTTCTTGTATATCTACCGCTTCGCCTGTGATAAGCTTAGAGCTCGGCCAACAGGTTCTGGGTTCTTTCCGTCCAATCAGAATAGGCAGTGTAGGATGGAGGTCGGAAACTTATAAAGCTTGCGTCAAGTCACTTGAACAGAAGGACACTTGCGGACTGTTTACCTCTTTGGCTCTTCACCGGCGTGTAAGTGGGCCCTCTTTAATCATGCTTTCACTTTGCTACATTAAATCTTGCCCGTAAGGGCTGGCCCGATTAGTAGGCGACGGGGATATTGGTAGATCAGTTGCTCAGGTCAGAACCGATCTTGCCGACGTCAACAGGTCAGCTCAGACGCTGTGAACTGGATCAGGCAAATGGTGGCCTCCTTAGGTTTTCCGTGGATAGGGTATCCTAACAGGACCAGATAATTTTTTCACTTTTTTAAAATACTCTTTCATATCACATCAATAACAGTTCACCTACAGAGGGTGCATCTGTGTCCGACTTTGTTAGAATCCAAGTCAATCTATGCTCTCCTATTGGGAATTGTTTACATCGTTGTCTGTGTCACCTGGTAATATGAAATTCGTAAAGTCTCCCTCTTCAATTTCGAGTTAAAGTGTTTGGTAAAAAGATTCGACGGCGGATTCCTTTTGATGGGTTTTACTGGAACATTCTTGTTGATGCTGTTTCCGAGGGGATCTCCTTTGATTCACCGGAAGCTGCCGTCGACTTCTAATGGAATCGACCTTCGAATATCTTCACCAAACACTTTCACTCGAAATGGAGGTGAGTTCAACAATTACTAACCAAGAAAGTCTTCGAACCCCGACTATTCTTTTAATTATATTATCACTGAAAGAGCCAAATATTATTTTAAAATAATGGATTTTACCTTGTGGTCTGTTTATTTTATTGCATAATTTGAGATATTTTATAGTCCCGACATATCCGATTTTTACTGACATTAATAACATTACTAAAGTCCCCTTATCAGCTTGGCAATTAAAATTCCATTTTATGCAACTTTATCTCTCTAATTAAGTATTGTTTTCGTGACTACCAGTAAATCAGTGTAATGAGATGTATTCACCCAATTACGTTTAACGTGATGAAGGACTGGTAGAAGAAGAATTTTCCCACAATGATATGAGCTGAGCTGACGTTTCCATTAAATTTTTTACATAGCTTTGCTTTCCCAAAAGTTGTTCTTATCCCGGCTGGAGTGGACTAGAGTTTCGACCTCGCATTGGTCTTATCAACACCCCCAGCGGGATTCGAACCGCGACAGTACAGGATGGTAGCTAGACACGCTATCCATTCGGCCACACTGCCACGAGTGCCTTTGTGTCACAGGGCAAATATGAATTGTCATATCATATTCTTTTGATGGTATTGTCGATGAAGCAAACGTATATCTGTACACCCACAAATGTTGTGGTTCCACTTGGTTTAATCAGGCTCACTGAAGACTCTCCTATTTGCTTCTGATTGTTGCTATCTCATAAGCATATATACATGCATGCATACACACGCACACATGGACGGGCGCCTAGATGACACACAACATTACGGTGGCGTTTGGTATATTTCACCTTTTCCAACGCCACTTCATCGGACCTTGTGCAGCCCATACCATCCGCAGCCATGCACACTTTACCCTCTTCATACCGTAACTCTGACTTATGTTGTGTATCATAATTTTATCCAGGATCATATGGAAGTGATCTGAACTTATTTTAGCAATTCATTTGTGCTGTCAAGGCAACCTAGATGGAAGCACATCGTCCGAAGCCCTCTGCTACAGCAGCTGTGTAAGTCCTACCGTTGGACCGTGGACTTGGTATGTTCCCAAACGTTTCGGCGACATCGTCAGGGCGTCTTGCCATGCTTAGAACGAAGCTACACCTTGTCAAAGGGGCGAGGGAAGTCAATCCCGTGGCCAACTTTTGTCCGAATTGTTGTGTCATTACTCCTCCTTCTCTCCTGGGACATCTCCTTATGCCCTACCCTCGTATTTCACTCTCGTCATCTCACATCTTCTGACGCATTTATATTAGATTCCTTTAGAGGTGTTGTATTTTTGACGAGTTTAGTGGGGCGTTATCACATCTTCTTCTTCACCTCGATTTGCCAGGATTGCTGATTTGACTTGACCTACCCATCCGAATCTTCCCCATGGCTTCGCAGTTTCGTCTGTTACTATCTACAGGGTCATATAGTTGAAACATCTTTGCATTATTTTGATGAATACTCCCCTTGACTACCATGAATTTACTTGAAGTGAGCTTTTCCAGGTTAATGTCTATTTTGAAGTTTTTATACTCTACATGTGAGTGGATGCCCAAGATATTAAGTGTCATTGGGTCTCCCTCGGCAGATCAAAATGAAGACCCGACTAACAGAGCCTGTGCTGAGAAGCATCTTCGCCTCCACGATGGCCTGGTTACCGGCGCTAGCCCAGCCGAGACTCGGAATGGATTCGGGCTCAATTCCCTTAACTGCAGTGCTCAACCGTGACGCATAATCTCTTTCTAGAAGTTTACCTCAGCCACGG